TTCATGATCGCTATCATCATCGCAGATTTCACTCATCCTCATCACCACGACTGGTTCACGTTGGCCTGCGGTGCTTCTCAGCCTGCAGTTCCTTTCGTTACACTGTAGTTGAAGCCGTTCATGGCAGTGACTCGTTTAAAGACAACGTTAGTATTGGGGGAAGTGTCGATAGCAGCGTTTCTTTTTACTTAGAAAAAGTCAGTAATTAAAAAGGAACAAGCCTCGCAGCGAACTTCCCTCAATACTAAAGTTGTCTTTAAACGAGTCACGCGTGAACATTCTTCAAACCGTGCATCCACTTCCCCTCCTTTGCGCAAAGCCCTTTCCTTCCCAATTTTATTCTTTTTTCCTCCCTCTCCGGCCTTCCCCCCCCCTTACCCCACTTTCCCCCCCCCCCCTATACATATCATTTAATATATACAAGCGTTGATAGCAGTGTCTCGTTTGTGGACAACTCATTATATATAAACTCATTCATACAGAGTTTCTTTTCGCAGCAAGTGAATGCACAGCAGTGTATCTGCATTACTGGCCCCCACTCCATTATCACTATCATCATCAACGATTTCCTACACGCGTGTGCGCGGCGGTCGCCATGAGTGAATAGTTTGCAGAGACTTCTCGCATTGATACCCATGGGTCACTTAGAGTGAACTCATTTGTGATCTTCTTTCATTGGAAGTTGAATCGGTTGATGGCAGTGCCTCGTTTAAACTCCACTTTGGTATTGCTAGTAGTGTCAATGCCAGCGTTTCTTTTTAATTGTGCAAGCGTTGGTAGCAGTGTCTCGTTTGTGGTTAGTTTATAACAGCGTTGACAGCAGTGTCTCGTTTGCGGACACCTCATTGTACATCAACTCGCTGATACCGGGTTTCCTATCAACACCATCATCATCATCCTTAACCATGTTTGCTCGAGTTTCACCTGGCCGTCCAGCCGCGGCGGTGCTCCTCAGCCTGACTTGTCACAATGCCAGCACGCGGCAAGGCATCGCCCCCGCCACCCCCGGCCCCGTGCGATGGCCCGTGGGAGATTCTGCCGGATCCGCCCGCACCGACTCCTCAGCCAGGTGTCGACGTGGTCTTTGAGCAGGCTCACCTCGAAGACATCCGCCGTACACCAGGGATGGGCGGCAAGACCGCCTGCCAGTGGCAGCGCGCGCTGCGCGCCGAGTGCATTGTCAACAACTTGTCGTTCAAAGACGTAACAAACGACCCGTCCTACGACTGGAAGCAACTGCTTCGGTCTGCCGCTCCGGGTTTCGCTGAGCGCATAATCGGGCAGGGCATCGCCCAGGTTCTCTTTCGCATCATCGAGACAGAGCGCGACCCTAACTACTCCAACACGGATGGCCACGGCAGGCACTTCTTCGAGTTCCGTCGTGCAGACGGTTCAGCCATGCGCCTGCATTACCATAAGAACGGCCGACCCGATGAGCCCACCTATGTCGGTCCACCACGCGCCGTTGCTCAGCCTGCCGTGCCTGAGCCTGGCGCTGCTCAGCCTCATGTTCCTCGTGGCGGCGCTGCTCAGACTGCCGTGCCTGACGGTGGCGCTGCTCAGCCTGCCGAGACTGGCGGTGATGCCCCACTGCTCTTCACACAGGAGCACCTGCAAGAGGCAGCCTGCTCGCGCCAGATTGTGGGCCGCGACGAAGCCAGCGCCGCTCTCCAATCGCTGTTGCACTACCACCATGGCGAGACTGCCCCAGGTGCTGTTGACATCACCGATGGCTCAGCATTTGACTGGCTTCGATGGGTGGCACATATCGAAGGTGCGCGCGACGTCATCCGCAATGGCGTCCACAGGGTCTACGCTGTCCGCTGGAATCCGCACTGGGCTCCAGAGGCCGTCTTCTGCTACGGCAACAACACCTACAGCACACTGGTGCCCCGCAAATCGCGCTACACAGGCTCGTGGAGCCACGCGCGAATTGTGACTCACCGGAACGCCAATTGGGTGACCGAACCGTTGCTATCTGCGGCCCCTGTGGCAGCTACGCCGTGGCTGGTGTTGCGGGATCAAATAACCTGGGAGTGATCTCTGGCAAACGAGATGGGTGCTTCTCAGCCTGCACTCATGTGACACGCAATGCCGTGCCCTGCAATCGCGTGGTGTTTCTCAGCCTGCACTCGCAGGTCCTTCGGAGGTCAATTGTTATGAGTTCGGCACGGTCTCGGTCAAGTACAGCGTGCTGTGGGGATCCCGAGATGGGGCCTGGCTCAAGGTGCTCAAGACGTACTGGAGTGTCCCAGAGCCGGAGTGCCAGCTGATCCTCGGGAGTTGGAACGGCATTTTCAGGCCGTGGCCGGACACGTTCTGGATCAGGACGGGGGGGTCCGAGCCCGAGATAGATGCTAGCGCTCTGCAGTACAAGTGCTTTTCAGCATGCGACATCCTGCGGTGCTTCTCAGCCTGCAGGGTTCGCAGCGTGCGGTTTGCAATGCATTCCTTTTCAGTATGCGAGTTCCTGCGGTGTTTCTCAGGTTGCAGGGCTCCGAGGCTCTTCCCTTCGATGCCAATGTTTTCAGACACCGTAGCTCCGTTCCGTAAACATCTTCCAAGAGCCGCTCGCAACTTTTTGCAGCTGGCGGTCTGCAGACGTAGTCTGTCTCAGCATGCGAGCTCCCGCACGCTTCGCCGGCTTTTGCTGCGCGGACAATTTTCTCACACACGTCAGCGCCGTTTGTAGGCGTCAGAAAAACATGTAGACATTCACGAAGGGCTCAGTCTGTATATCGTCACATCATTACATACGCAGTCGTCGAACACATCGGTGTACATTCAGCGCTTTGTCCTTCTAGCTGGGTCGCTTCGTGCTGAGGCTGAGGCTGATGCAGGCTGAGGCTGAGGCAGGCTGAGGCTGAGGCCGAGGCCGACGGCAGACTGAGGCTGAGGCTGAAGCAGGCTGAGGCTGAGGCAGAGGCAGGCTGAGGCTGAGGCTGAGGCAGGCTGATGCTGAGGCAGGCTGAGGCTGAGGCTGAGGCTGATGCAGGCTGAGGCTGAGGCAGGCTGAGGCTGAGGCCGAGGCCGAAGGCAGACTGAGGCTGAGGCTGAAGCAGGCTGAGGCTGAGGCTGAGGCAGGCTGAGGCTGAGGCAGGCTGAGGCTGAGGCTGAGGCAGGCTGAGGCTGAGGCTGTGACTGCGACTGCCGTTGCCACTGCGACTGTCCTCGCGAATGCGACAACGACTGCGAGAACAGCAGAATTCTACAACTGGATTCTCATCCGAATCTTAAGGGGAATGCTTCCAGATATGCTCCTACACATGGCTGTTAGGTTGCTTTGCCGGGATAATTCAGACGGCGCGAAGGTTTTTGAGACACCCCGCCGCCTTCTGAGACGGCATGCCTACTCCCAGTCTTGTGTTCCTCTAGGGGGAGCGACGTGCACCAGACTGGCCCAACATTGACCTGTGGTGGTTTGGTGTCATTTGCGTATATCTCCACATGTCCGATGTCTTCTGGGGCGAGGACTAGCTTTCAACGCGTCCCCTGATTCCCCCTCGTCCGCGCACATGCCCGCGCCCATAGTTTTCGAACCCCTCTCCTGGACGCTTGGATGTCCCCGATTCACTGCGTTGGATGTCTGGGCTTGGTGCGTCTCATCCCTTGCCCTGTGAAGGGCTTCTCCGCCGAGCAATTCGGCAGCATCACGCGTTTCTTCCGGGCGCGCGCCACCGACGGCACGGTGAGCGCCAGGGACCTTGCGGCTATCCTCGAGCAGGCCTGTCCCGACCTGGCCAAGCCACGGGCGAACGTGGCGAGAGTGGTTGCCTTGCAACGTCGGGAGACCCAGGCTGTCCTGTGAAGGGCTGTCTTTTTCTGGTGTCCCGACGTACGTTTGGCGCGTATTCGATGCGGGTGGATCGTGGATTCGACAGATTCGACATGGGTTCGTGGATTCGACACGCATTGGATTCGCATAGTGGGGCGATCGGGCAGGCAAGGTCCCCCGAGGTTGCAACAGAAGAGCGGCGGGTCAATTACGGCGGGCGGCGGGTGTCCGGGCTCCCGCGGGCACCCATCGCTCGTGGAGAGCGCTCTTGTACTCCCAGACCCCCAACCGATTTTAATACTCGAATTGCTGTCCTCTTTCTTCCAGGGGGTTGGCGATCGCTCAATATCCTTCATATGCCTTTCTTCGCACAAGAAGAAATTCAGACTTCCACTCAATGGGGGCTCTGCGCAGATTTCTTGGATCTGCGTCGGGCCTCCCTGGTGGCGCCTCCAGCGCCGATCCAAGAAGTACGAGCGGACCTTCGAACGTGTATTTGTTGTGCGTTCGTTTCTTGTACATGTTCCAACGCGAGGCGCTTTCCTATTTCAAGGGTCGGATGGCTGTTCCCTTTCCTTTTCCTGGGGGTGGGCGGGAGCCTGATCTACCTCCTGTGCTTTCCTACTTCATGTCTCTACCCGCTTCTTTCGAAAGATGGGTCGAGTATGCCGCCACACATCTCTGTGGGCGATTAGGGTCCCCGAGGTTTTCGTGGTTTTTGGTCTTGGGTCCCGGGTGTTGTAAGCTGGAACCTGGCGAACACGTTGCCGCCTGTTTCGGTAGGCGGCCGGGTTCCCTGGCTTCCGGGTCCTGGTGACAGTCTCCCGCCGATTCTGGTCGTCCTGTCCGCCGTGGCCCAGGGCCCTGACCAGGGAGTCTCATGGGGGCTTTTCGCAGAGGAGTCTCAGGTCACTCGCGAGGGCGTGAAAATGATATCGTGCCTCGCGCGTCGCGGCCTGGGCCGGAGCAGCGGCCCTTTGCCATGGGCCATGGTGGCCGCGCGGGGGCGCCGGGGGCGCGAAGGGAGCCCGAGCGTCGCGTATGCCTTGGTTTATCGCTCGGATGTGTGCATGTCTTCTCGGCGTGGGCCATCGAGGAGCATCCGGGAGCAGCGAGCAGAACACATGCAGATGACCGACAAATGCCCAGGGAGTGGGCGTCTGAGCGATGTTGAACAGTGGGGCACGGTGCACGAGGTCAGGTGGCCTGGGGAATCGCACGAGAGATGTCTGTCGGGCAGGTCTACCCAGACCTGGCCACGGGCGAGAACTTCCGCGCCTACATCCAGAGGGCGATGGTGGAGGACTTAGACACCCGGCGTCACGAAAAGTTCGTGCCTTCCTGGTTGCCTCCAGTTCAGGCGGCTGAAGGCCGATCCCAGTCCCCGTGACCGTCCCAAAACGGACCAAGGGAACTGTTTTTGCTGGCCGGGCTGGTCACGGGCGCTTTTGGGAACGAGTTACGTGGGCTCAAGATCGAGCGGGGCGTCATCGAGGGGTGTGTGTGTGTGGATTTCATGGCCGGCGCCATGACACCCTCCAGGCTTCATGCCGCCCCCCCCCGTCTTCGGCCCACCCAAGTCAGAAGTCTGTCCTTAGGATGGGGTCGAGAGGCCCGGGGACGGGCCACCCGAACAAAGTCGAGTCGTCGAATGTTCGGGGACGGATAGAGGGAGACAGAGAACGAGAGAGAGAGAGAGAGACAGACAAACAAACAACACATCGCGTGGTTATACCGACGAGTTGGTGCGCATTCTGATGAGCATCAGCGCCAGCATGGCCATCGGCAGGGCGCTGGCTGACAAGGCGCCCAAACCATGATCAACGAAACAATGGCTCAATACAGGTTACATGTTTGACTGGTGATCGGGAGAGGGAGAGAGAGACAGAGAGAGAGAGAGAGAGCAAGAAAGGGAGGGCGAGAGAGAGAGAGAGAGGGAGCCCGCGTGACTACGCACGCCCAAGTTCTGAGCGCGACCCTTCCGTAGCCTTTCTCTGCAGCCGCCCTGGTTTTTTTCTAGCTGCTGCTCGGTGCGCAATTGACGTTGTCCTGGGCCAGGAGGTCCCCAAACGATTCGTTGTCCGCTCGTTCGCAGCGGCAGGCAAGTTCATTACGCCTGCTGTGCTCGCCCTGATGCCGTCGCCCCGCTTTCTGAGCGCGCATGCGGACTGCCTCCGCCGCGCTGCGACGGAATAGATGCTGTGCTCGCCCGCCCCTGGCAGCCACTGCTTCGGGATCGGGCCATGACGACCCAGGGTGGCGCGGCGGCGCCCGACGTGGAGTACGCCCCACTCATCCCCCCCTTGCTGTGTCCGCCGCCGCCGCCTCTCACATTCCACTTGGCGACGACCATCGAGGAGCATCCTTAATCATCTAGCCAAATATACACGCACGGAATCGAGGCATGCACGGGGAATGGATGCGATGGCGAGTCCCATCGACGCTTGGCTGTTTTCGGGCAGTAGCCCGGGTCTCCGGCGGCCGTCGGGGACGTGGGGAGGACCCCGGGCGCCCACATAAAGCTCTCCGCGAGGCGCGGGCGTTGGAGAATAGCAGAACTTCCAAGAATCAGCAAACCACCTCCAGGAACATCTCGAGGCGAGACAACTTCCACACATCACAGCAAGACACCTCCAGGAGCCAGCCTCCCAAACCCAGACTGCCTCGTGCAGCGGCGTCTCTGCCACGTCGCGCCCTGGTATCAGGAGGGAACAAAACACACAGACACAATCATCGTCGATCTCCAGGAGAATAGGGGAAATATGGGAAGCGGAGGGGGAAGACAAAAAAACGAGAAAATATGGGAAACGTAGCACCCCGCAATTGCGGATAAGAGTGAGGGGGCGGGCGCGGGCGACGCGGGCGTCGTCGAGCCGGCGGACCTCGTGGCCCCCACCTTCCCTGTCGATGGCGCTCTCCTCCCCTTCCTCCTCCTCATCCTCCTCCTCTCCTCCTCTTCCTCGTCCTCGTCCTCGTCGTCATCGTCATCATCATCCTCCTCCTCCACCTCGTCCTCCTCCTCTTCTTCCTCGTCCTCCATCTCCCCCCTCGTCTTTCCATCATCGTCCTCCCATTGTCGTCCATCCCCCTCATCGGCCTCAATCATCGTCCTCCCATTGTCGTCCATCATCATCATCCTCCCCCTCCTCCCCCTCCTCGTCCTCCTCCCCCTCCTCCCCCCCTCCCCCTCCTCGTCCTCCTGCTCCTCCTCCTCCTCCTCCTCCTCCTCCTCTTTTCTCTACATTATCCTTGCATCCTCTCTTCTTTCGCGTCCTCCTCGTCCCCTGTTTACTCCTCCTGCCTCCCCCTCCTTTCCCAAGATAACGGCAACGCAATCCTTGTTTCCACTTTATGCTCCCCGACTTCTGATCAAGGCACCTCGCCAGGGCAAAGTTGCTGGACGGGCTGGTGTGGATGCGCGGGGTTTGAAGAGGTCGTTGCGGGCTCAGGCGGCATGCAAAAATCCGCCGCCGCGCTTGTGCGGCATTGGTTTGTTCAGTGAACGTGGTTTGGGTCGCGGGGTCTCCACCTCCACCTGGAAAGAATGCAAAAGCAGCCCGCCGCAGGCGCCGAACAAATTGCTTTTTACACTGAGCGTGGAATGGCTCGCGGGTGGGCCGCGGGTTCTCCACCGGGAGCGGATGCAAAAGATGCCCGCCGCAGGCGCCGAAAACATTGGTTTGCACCCTGAACGTGGTCGCGGGTGGGCCGCGGGCTCTCCATGAAACGAGTGCAAAAGATGCCCGCCGCAGGCGCCGACAAATGTGGTTTGTACCCTGAACGTGGTTTGGGTCGCGGGTTGGTCGCGAGTTGGTCGCGGGGTGGGTCGCGGGCTCTCCACCTGGAAGGAATGCAAAAAAAGCCCGCCGCAGGCGCCGAAAATGGTGGTTTGTACCTTGAACGTGGTTTGGGTCGAAGGTGGGTCGCGGGGTGGGTCGCGCGGGTGGGTCGCGGGTGGGTCGCGGGTGGGTCGCGGGTGGGTGGGTCGCGGGTGGGTCGCGGGGTGGGTCGCGGGTGGGTCGCGGGTGGGTCGCGGGTGGGTCGCGGGGTGGGTCGTGGGGTGGGTCGCGGGGTGGGTCGCGGGTGGGTCGCGGGGTGGGTCGCGGGGTGGGTCGCGGGGTGGGTCGCGGGTGGGTCGCGGGTGGGTCGCGGTTGGGTCGCGGGGTGGGTCGCGGGGTGGGTCGCGGGTGGGTCGTGGGTGGGTCGCGGGGCGGGTTTCGGGTGGGGCGACGACAACAACAGCAACAACAACAAACAACAACACACAACAACAAACAACTACAAACAACAACAACGAGAATCCGCACCGCGGGTTCCCACTTCAGTCACGCACCCAGGGACAGTGAATGACCGCTCGGCCCCCTCACTCTGACTATGCGGAATCATGTTATTTTGTGTGTGTGTGTGTGTTGATTTGTGTGTCCCAGGGCCCCTTTTTCAAAATAATTGGTGCAAAACAGAATTTCAGACGCTTCGCGTATCCCCACCAGCCCGTCCAGAAACGACGCCCAGGCGAGTAGAGGGTCGTCCTGGGGGGCTTTTCGGCGCCTTGGGTGCCTCGGGGGGGCCTCTGTGGGCTGTTCGGGATCCTCTTTGGGGCCTCCTGGGGGCCTCTTGGGGCCTCTTGGGGCCATCTTGGAGCCTTTGGGGGCCTCCTGGGTGCTTCTCGGGGCCTCCTGGGTGCTTTTTGGGTGCCCCTGGGGGGTCTCTTGGGGCCTCTTGGGGGTTTCTTGGGGGCCTCCTGGGGGCCTCTTGGGGGGCCTCGGAGCCATCTTGGAGGAGATCGATCAACGAAGGGGGGCTCCCTAATTACAGCCCCCCCCTCAGGAACCACGATCCTCGCCCTCCCAGGAGTCGATCTTGGGCGCTCCAACGCGCCGCGGAACCCCCTGTCCAGGTCAGTGGGGAGGGGGTAGGGGGAGGGGTAAACCCCTCCCCGAAGGGGAAGAGGGAGGGGTGGAAGAGGAAACGCTCTAAACCACCGACGCCCAGAGGGCTGGTGGGATTTCCCGAGGTCCGCTCGGATTTCTTGTGTCGGTGTCGGCCCCCCCCTCGGTGCAGATTCTTGCATCTGCGTTGACCTGCCCTTCCTGGCGCGCACCTCCACCCCCACCTGACCCCTCTGTGGTGCTGGGTTGGAGAGCTCCGCAACCCGATCGCGTTGGTTCTTCATAGTGGGAGACTCTACTCCGCCCCCCACCTGGACACCCCACTCGTCTGGGGTCTGGGGAGGGGTACCACGTGGGAAGTGGTGTGCTTATTCGTTTACCTACCTGTCGTTCCCCTCCGGAGGACCCGGACGAGGACCCCCTCGAGTTCGGGCGGATCGCTTACGAGCGCTTCGTCCAGATCGTGGAGATGTTCGGCGCTTTCCAGGATCTCTCAAAAAGGAAGGGGAGGAGAAGTAGCAGGGGCAAGAGGAGGTTGATGGAGGGACGGGCGGTTTCATTGGGACGTTTCCCATCAGAGGGGGCCTTTTCTCACCACGACTGGACTCTGGATTCATTGCAAGATCATGCCAAATTGCGCTCAAGGACAGGTCTGGGGCTCGACCAGTACCTGGAGGAAAGGGGAGGAGGAGGACGAGGGAGGATGGAGCAAGATCATCAAATTCGGTGTCCCGTTCCAGATCCTGGACCGTCATTAATTCAGGTCGAGCGATGTCGCGCAAAGATAGTGTTGAGCGGTTTGGGAATCGACGTTAAGGGCATGGCGGAGCCCTGACAGTCCGGGTGACGTGAAACAGTCACGACGGATGCCTTCGCTTCGTCTCCAGGCCCCAGCCTTCCCATGCGTAATCAGGAGATTAGGGTTCCTGCGTGCCGTCAGAGAGAGGGCACTGCGGATCCAGAGCAGCGCGTTTGGTTAGACTCGGGATTCGCAGAGCACATAATACGACAGGGGCCAATTACATATCCAGGATGAAACGTGATCGACTCATGGACACGGAAAGGAATCAAGAACTGTAAGGCATGGCATAGTATTCAAGACACCTGGTTGAGCGACGGGTATTTGAAATGCTGAGTTTATCGATCTTGATGTACCGTGCCAAGGGCTGTGCTGCGCCGTGCCGAATTGCGGTGTGCCATGCCGCGATTGTGCTCTATAGTAGAGTGGATCGAGTTCTCCGTTGCATACGAGTCCTGACCGATTTGATCTGGATCTTAAGCTCGAGCTGCCTTATTAGCACACAGCAGCTGCCCTAGAGCTAATTGACAGGGGGGGGCATGCCATGGGGACGCGCCGCGGAACGTCCCAAGGGACGCGCCAGAAAACATGCCAGGAGACGTGCCATGGGGACGTACCGCGGGACGTGCCAAGGGGAAGCGCTACGGAACGTGCCAATGGACGTGCCACGGGACGTGCCAGGGGACGCGCCGCGCGACGTGCCAGGGGGTTTCGCCACGGGACGCGCCACGGAACGTGCCAGGGAACGTGCCAGGTTGCAATGCTAAGTGTATCGGCCTTGACGTACCGTGCCAAGGGCTGTGCTGTGCTGCGCCGTGCTGAATTGTGATGTGCCATGCCGCGATTATGCTCTTTAGCGTTGTGGATCGACCCCTCCTTTGCACCCGAGTCCTGACCGAACTGATCTGGACCTTAAGTTCGAGATGCTTGAACACACACAGAAGCTGCCCCAAAAGCTAATTGACATCGGGACATGCCATGGGGACGCGCCGCGGAACGTCCCGAGGGACGCGCCAGGGAGCGTGCCAGGTTATTGGCAGTTCGGTGCGGTAGTTTAGAACGGAAGGTTTACAGGGTAAGGGTCGCAGAAGAGGGGGTTTTCGTTGAAACTTATTCGGTTCAGCAGCTTGCTGAATTTCTCTCTTTGCGATGGGGGGACGGCCCCCTTCGGGGTTGCCACAGCCATGGCGGCCGCCGCCATGCTCTCTGCCCCTGCGCTCGCCGCCGTCCTGCGCTGGGGCGCGGCCGCGGCCGCGGCCGCCTGGCTGGCTGCGCTGCCAAGCCTCCGCCCGGCGGCGATCGCCGCACAGGCGTTGGCGCCGGCGCCCCCCGCGCCCGCAGTCTCCCATGAGGAGAACGCGGAGGAACGGGACTACGCGTACGACGACCTGGACCACCCGGTGGCTGCGGGTTTCCTGGGTCTCATCAAGAACCGGCCGGGCTCGACGACGTGGTTGCGTTGGTCGCAACACTGGATGGCCCCGCCGGCCCGTCGGCACCCGAACCCGCTCGGGGACTCGAGCTGGCGAGGGACATCGGCGAGAATGCCGAACCAGAGACAGATCCTGAAGCCGCGGCCCCTCCACGTCTAGAGGTAACCTAGCGGCACGGCGTGTAACCGCCACCCCCGGATAACAAATCCACTTTTTCCCACATGAGCGTTTATCATCCCCGGCCAATGCAGATTTGGTCGGGAGAGGGGGGCGGCAATTCCGAATTAGAATAGCGCGGGGGATAGTTGCGAATCGAAGGTGCCACATTCTTTTGTTGGCTCGCAACATCATCAAGACGCATGGCATGGCTATGGGGGTCTCACCATTTCGGTTTCCGCAAGTCAAGAACGCCTGGCAGGGCGACGGGATTCCCACCATTGACAGTTTTCCCATGTCACGTTTTCTCAGCCCTTCCCGAGTCAGGAACGTGCGGCTGGCTGGGCCACGGTGACAGATTGGATTTTGAAGGTAACGTTTGCTATTCGACGTTTTCACCAATTTAGCTTTCCCAAGTCACGAACGCGTGGCAGTGCCCAGGGATTCTCACTTTCTCAACCCTTACCGAGTCAGAAACGCGTGGCGCGCAGTTCGTGGTCCCATAGGGAGCTCCACCGAAGGCCCTTGCGGCGGTGCCCGCATGCGTCCGCGCCTTTCGTAGGCCCCCCAGTTTAGCACGCCGCTCGCGCAGTTCGTGGCGCCATAGTTCCATCCACGGGACGTCCTCCCCCCCCCCCCCTGCGCCTTCATCTCCGCCTCTCCCCCCCTCCACCTCTCGCTCCACCCCCCCCCGCAACCGCGTTGGCTTGAGTCCCCCGCGCTGGGCGCCTCGGAGCCCCTCCCGAGGCCGTGGGCCTCCGCCCAGCCGCCGCCACCGAGCGCGGCGCATTCCCGGGCCCGCGCGAGGGCGACAGCGCTTTTCCGGCGCGCCGAGCCCCGGGGTCTGGGGCCCAGCCGAGCGGGTTGTCGAGTTGACCGAGCTTTTCGCCGAGGTGCTCCAGCAGAACAAGGAACTGCTGCGCAAGCAGGACGCGACCAGCAACTACCTCACGCACCTGTGCGAAAAGACCTCCTTCGTCGAAACATGCGCCAGTGCCCGACGAGCGGCGAAGCCGCCGACGCATCAAGGAAGACGGGCATGTATTTCCGAGGCTCGAGCTCCATGTGGTCGAGTAGCGTCTTGAGCGCGGTGCTCGAAACGATCTGCAAGTCGGGCGCGATCGAGTCCGCCGTGCACGAGGGCATCTTCCACGAGATGGACATCCGCCGTTCCGAGCCCCCCCCACCTTCTGGCAGACGCGGCGCGAGAAGACTGGCGAGACTTTCGACGCCTTCGAGGAACGAGACTTTCTTGGCGACGAGACCGTCGACGAGCTGCGCGACGGCCCCAGAGCCTTGCCAGATCGACATCGCTCGCGGCCGCGCAAAGGGGGGGGCGATTAATAAAGGGGGGAAGGGGGGGGGCAGCGAGGGCTGCCGAGAAGGAGCCACGTAGCTCTCAGGGCCGCGCGCCTTCGCGACTTTCACTGCGCCTGCGCCCCCGAGGCCGCGTTCCCCGATGAATTCGTTGCGTCCGCGCCCCGGGGGCCACGGTCCCTCGCGAACTACGCTGCGTCCGCGCCCGCTGGGCCACGACGCTTTCTAAATTGCGCTGCGTCCGCGCTTCCAGCGCAACGGTCCTTTGGCAAATTCTAGACATTTCGCGTATCCGACAAGCCCATCCAGAAACGATGTCCAGGCGAGTTGAGGTGATCAGGGAACTGCGGAAGCGAAGAGGAGGCTGTCCGAACCGTGCAAAGGAGTGAGAAAGGAGAAGGAGGAGGTGGATGGATGGATGGACGAGGGAGTGGGACGAAGGAGGATGAATAGGAGGAGGAGGAGGAGGAGGAGGAGGAGGAGGAGGAGAGGAGGAGGATGAGGAGGAGGAGGAGGAGGAGGAGGAGGAGGAGGAGGAGGAGGAGGAGGAGGAGGAGGAGGAGGAGGAGGAGGAGGAGGGAGAGAGAAGGAGTAGGAGCAGGAAGGGGGAACAGGAGGAGGAGGAGGAGGACAACCACAAGGGCCAGAGGTCTCTTGGAGTCTTCTCGCAGCCTCTTAGGGCATCTCTTGGGCGATTATTGGTGGCCTCTTGGGACGTCTTGGGGGTCTTTTGGCGATCCTGGGGGGCTCTTTCGGGGTCTTCGGTGCCTCGGGGGGGGGCTCCTGGGGCCGCTTAGGGTCTTCTTGGGGGCCTCCTGGGGGCCTCTTGGGGGCATTTTGGGGCCATATTGGGGCCATCGTGGGACCTCTTGAGGCCTCCTGGGCGCTCTTTGGGGCCATCTTGGCGGAGATCGGTCAACGAAGCGGGGTTCTTTAATCTGGGTCCCCCCCCCGAGGCCAAAATGGGGCCAAAACCGCAGCAAAACCAATGATTTGCGTTTCCTCGCCGAGGCCGTTTTGGACGCCGTGACACCTCCCCGCCCCTCCCGTCCAGGTCCACGGGGAGGGGGTAGGGGGAGGGGTAAACCCCTCCCGGAAGGGAAAGAGGGAGGGGTGGAAGAGAAAACGCCCTAAACCACCGACGCCCTGAGGGCTGGTGGGATTACGCTGCGCCCGTGCCCCCAGGGCCACGATCCACGCTGGGGCCGCCGTTCCAGGGCTGCGCTCCTTTGTGGATTGCGATGCGTCCGTGTTCCCACGGCCGCGTTTCCGCGTGAATTGCGCTGCGCCCGGGCTCCCAAAATTATTTGGGCATCCTGGAGCGCCCAGGCCGCTCGAGTTCTGCAAAACAAGCGTTTCGCACGAGACATCCTCGAAGTTCCTGCGCTCGGGGCGCGCCAGCCTCGAGCGGGCACGCAAAACATTGTGCTTCGATATTTGGTGGTAAGATTGCAGACTCGCCAAACTTAGCGTTTGGTCGGTGATTCTGCGCAGAACGCTCGTTTTTTTGCGAAGGAAAACGGGCTTCTGTGGGCCCCATTATTTATCGAGGATCGGAGATAAAAGGGGGCACATGTTCTTCGAGCGGGCACGCGCGAAACGCATTCTTGGACACATGATCATTTGTTACTTTTCTCGCTTATCGCAAACAATTCCGCCGGCCCTTCCCCAACATGGCACCGGGGACAGGCTTACAAATTACGCTACCGGGGAACCCCACATATTTATGTTATGGCTGGAGCCATGATAGCTGAAGTGAAGCATGTGAGAATGATGTTGGTG